CCCCTTTACTGGAACATGATCTCTTTGTCCTTTGATTGGAACACTATCTCTTTGTCCCCTTTACTGGAACATGATCTCTTTGTCCCTTTTACTGGAACATGATCTCTTTGTACCTTTTACTGGAACATGATCTCTTTGTACCTTTTACTGGAACATTATCTCTTTGTCCCCTTTACGGGAACATGATCTCTTTGTCCCTTTTACTGGAACATGATCTCTTTGTCCCTTTTACTAGAACATAATCTCTTTGTCTCCTTTACGGGAACATGATCTCTTTGTCCCTTTTACTGGAACATGATCTCTTTGTACCTTTTACTGGAACATGATCTCTTTGTACATTTTACTGGAACATGATCTCTTTGTACCTTTTACTGGAACATGATCTCTTTGTACATTTTACTGGAACATGATCTCTTTGTACCTTTTACTGGAACATGATCTCTTTGTACCTTTGACAGGAACATGATCTCTTTGTCCCTTTGACTGGAACATGATCTCTTTGTCCCCTTTACGGGAACATGATCTCTTTGTCCCTTTGACTGGAACACTATCTCTTTGTCCCCTTTATGGGAACATGATCTCTTTGTCCCTTTTACTGGAACATGATCTCTTTGTCTCTTTTACTGGAACATGATCTCTTTGTCCCCTTTTACGGGAACATGATCTCTTTGTACCTTTTACTGGAACACTATCTCTTTGTCCCTTTTACTGGAATATGATCTCTTTGTCCTTTGACTGGAACACTATCTCTTTGTCCCCTTTACAAGAACATGATCTCTTTATACCCTTTACTGGAATATGATCTCTTTGTCCTTTGACTGGAACACTATCTCTTTGTCCCTTGAATGGAACATGATCTCTTTGTCCCTATAATTGGAACATTATCTCTTGTTCCTTGACTGGAACACTATCTCTTTGTCCCTTGACTGGAATATTGTCTCTTTGTCCCTTTTACTGGAACACTATCTCTTTGTACCATGACTTGAACAACATCTCTTGTTCCTTGACAGGAACATGATCTCTTTGTCCCTTTGACTGGAACATGATCTCTTTGTCCCCTTTACGGGAACATGATCTCTTTGTCCCTTTGACTGGAACACTATCTCTTTGTCCCCTTTATGGGAACATGATCTCTTTGTCCCTTTTACTGGAACATGATCTCTTTGTCTCTTTTACTGGAACACTATCTCTTTGTCCCCTTTACGGGAACATGATCTCTTTGTACCTTTTACTGGAACACTATCTCTTTGTCCCTTTTACTGGAATATGATCTCTTTGTCCTTTGACTGGAACACTATCTCTTTGTCCCCTTTACAAGAACATGATCTCTTTATACCCTTTACTGGAATATGATCTCTTTGTCCTTTGACTGGAACACTATCTCTTTGTCCCTTGAATGGAACATGATCTCTTTGTCCCTATAATTGGAACATTATCTCTTGTTCCTTGACTGGAACACTATCTCTTTGTCCCTTGACTGGAATATTGTCTCTTTGTCCCTTTTACTGGAACACTATCTCTTTGTACCATGACTTGAACAACATCTCTTGTTCCTTGACTGGAACACTATCTCTTTGTCCCTTGACTGGAACATTGTCTCTTTCTCCCTTTTACTGGAACACTATCTCTTTGTACCATGACTTGAACAACATCTCTTTGTACCCTGATTGGAATATTTCATCTTGTCCTTTTACTGGAACACTATATCTTTGTCCCTTGACTGGAACACTATCTCTTTGTCCTGTGACAGGAACATTGTCTCTTCATCTCGTCCTTTTACTGGAACACTATATCTTTGTCCCTTGACTGGAATATTGTCTCTTTGTCCCTTGACTGGAACATTATCTCATTGTACCTTGACTGAAATATAATGTCTTGCACTTTTACTGGAACACTATTTCTTTGTCCCTTGACTGGAATATTGTCTCTTTGTCCCTTGACTGGAACATTATCATTTTGTCCCTTTACTAGAACACTATCTTTTTGTCCCTTGACTGGAACATTATCACTTTGTCCCTTGACTGGAACATTATCACTTTGTCCCTTGATTGGAACATTATCACTTTGTCCCTTGACTGGAACATTATCACTTTGTCCCTTTACTAGAACATTGTATCTTTTTACCTTGAATTAAACATTATCTTTTCATCCCTTGACAGGAATATTATCCCTTTGATTCCTGACAGTAACATTATCTATCTCTTTGATCAATGAGAATAAAATTCTCTTTGATTTTCGACCTGAAAAAAATCCCCTTTAATTAATGAATGAAACAAAAACTTTTCATCATTTACTGAAATGCATAGAGATTAATTTTACTGTGAATTAAACAAGCATTTGTCAATTTATCAAATAGCATGTCAATATTTCAAACCTACCAAAACCAGATTCATTGATTATGGCAATTTTTTTTTAAATGAAATTCATGTCTGCAAAATCACTGTATATATATTCACAACCAGACTGGTAAAATATCAGAAATGCCATTAATACTCAGTTTACAATCATGCATAATGAAATAGTCTCCTTAAAATGATCATGCTTTATCATATAGGATACAGTTGCTTTTCATGTGTTCACTCTCTACCATTTATAAAACAACAAAACATTCCTTTTTGTTTCGATACAGAAAAAAAATCTACTTCATTACAAACCAGTAATATGGGGTGCCCTTTGTTTACTATTTCATACAAAGGAATTGATATAAAAAATGAAAGTAGATTATTAATAAGACAATCCGTAAGAAATCAGCACCAGTAATTATCCATTGTCCTGAAAATGTCAATCATTATGTGATTAGCTTACAGTTTCTAATTGATATAATAAAAGCTCTATAAGCATATAATTCTGAAACAGGATAAAGAGACTCACTCATTTTATAGAGCTAGCCAGGATGTAATAGCTCATTTAAACAGGGAATAAGTTTTTCACTAAAGAGGAAACTTTTTACAATGGAACAACTTGAAAGAAGAATGTTTTTAATGCATTTTGAGAAATGAATGGATTCTTTTAATGGTGAATAGAAACAATTTAGAGTGCATTCACACTAAACCTGTAACAAATTACGTCAGGTTTTCGATCTCAGTGAGAGCTGGTTTTCTCTACCTGTTATCATTCATCTGAGGCATAATGTTAGAATTCTGTCAAAAAAACAAATATCAACTACAGAGACAAGGATGATCAAGACTTTGTGAAAAATTACAGTAGTTAATCCCGAGGCACAAAAGTGGATGACTTTGCAGCAAAGGTGATACATGTCACTGTTTGAGAGGAGAAAATCCTGACTTACACAGTACTTGATATCACAACAACATCTCAGTCAGCAGAATTGATATTTTTTTCAAGTAAAACCAATTTTCATGATGTTTTACTTACTATGACCTTAATATGCAAATACAATACCTGCACCCATCTTTCATAGCCCCAAAACAAAAGATTAAAAACTCTCGGTCTCCTTACAGTCACATTAGCAATTACGACTAAGACATAGAGTGATCTCCCTTCCTCGAAAACATTTATAGAGCCAAAATGCGGGACAGCCTGGCAGAGAAGGAAAGGTGAAGATAGGGTGGGAATCCATAATGTTATGGTAAGTATTACTTGAAAAGACTTCAATTTCATTTCAGTAATAATTACTATAACATTAGTATGTGAATTTGAGACTTCGAGGCCAGGCAGCCCATCATAGCACAGCCCAACCCAGAGAGCACTCCAGGTTGAAAGGGAAAGATTCAAGGAACCTCCAAAAAAGTGCCAGATAACAACTGGCAAGTACCTCTCCCTGAAAGAGTAGGGGTCCCAACGTGGTGTCGAAAGGCATAAGAATGAAAAATATGCCAGACAACTGAGGAGACACAGTCACAGACAGACCAACCAGTAGAGGACCAAGATAGTACAGACCCTCAGAATGAGGAGCCAAGGACATCAGATAGAAATCTGTCCTGCAATGCCAAAAGGAAGCAAACATGACCTCCTGAAAGGAGAACCTATTGAAGAGGGGCCAAGATGCTGTGAGGGCGCTAACCTCACGAGCCCACACCTTCAATCTGCCTGAGCCTGATTATCTGAATACTCATAAGCATACTGATGAACTGGCAAACCCACCTTGAAACTGACTGGGAAGAGATATCCAGATGACCCTCTTTGATGGGCAAAAACAGATGGGATGGAGAACCCCACACCCCCTTCCCCCACTCCCTAGTTCTATCAAGGTAAGACTTCAGCACCCGACAGGGACAGAGCAATCTATTATGCTCCTCAGGACCAGTCAAGGCAAGAATCCTAATGGGATCTTGGAACCTGATTCTTTGCCAAAAATGAAGAATCAGTCAGAACAGTTACAGCAGAATAACCTCTAGACCAATGTAGACAGGAACAAAGTGAAGGCAACGCAAGGACCTCGCTCCTCCTATGACAAGAAGTCAGAGCAACAAGGAAGACTCTACCTTGAAAGTAACAAAATCCAAACGGCTCATATAGAGCATGCATCAGGGAATCTAGCACAAGAGCCAGATTCCACTGCCAGGCTAGCTGCAAAACCCTGGGCCTATCTAGAGCAAAGCCTCTAATTAGGGCAGAAAGAGAGGAGGATGAACTTATCTCTTTCCTGCCATGAAAAGCAAGTATGCTGGCAATAGCCATACATTAACCAGCTATAGTGCAAAGGGGCCAAAAGTGGTCCCTAAACAGGTAGAGAAGGAATTCCCCAATCTACTGCACAGAGGTCTTGATGGAATCAACCTCCCTGCCTACACACCAATCACAGAAGACCTTCCACCATGATTGGTAGATGGCAGAAAAGGAAGCCCTGATAGATCGTCAGATGTGATCTGACAATTCTCAAGAAAAGCCTGTCTCAGCGAGGCTTCCTGAGAAGTAGCTTCCATGCATGAAGGTGGAGGATTCTATTGACTGTATGCGTATTGTCCTGGATCAAAGCTGGTGAAGGGTATTTGATCTGGTGGATCCATGAATTCTATCCATTCTGGAAGGAATGCAGCATGATGCCCACATGCAGGAAGATCCAGACAAGAGTAGATCAAGTCCCTGCTATGCAGAAAAATCGTCGAAACAACCAGAGCCTGATCCTGCATGAGGACATGAGCTTGTGGCAAAAGGACCGCTGTTCCTATGTACAAGCTCGCTGTCTGTAGCAGCCAAGGAGAGGGAGGAGTCAGGAACTGATCAGCTCAGAGCCAGAGACAGAACTCTAATTTAACTTAACAAGGTTCCCCCTTCCGCTGGAAGTAGAAGATGAATTTCTCTTATGGCAGGAAGAAGATTGCTGGGAAGACTTTAAAGTCTTGATTTGAGAACACCTATGGCCAATACATTATCCTACCCAAGACATACTTACTAATAACAACTAAGAATTGTAAATAAGTTAGAATACTTATGAAAAAATAGCTCAAAACATACAGGCAAACGATGGAAATGAAGAAAAACAACAACAGCAAAAGAGAAAAAGTTGAAAACAAGGCCAAAAAACCATAATGGCAGACCACAATCAAGCAAGCCAAAATAAAAGTAATATAGAGCAGATGGGCATTAACAACGCAAACTGTGCAAATGAGTGGCTGAAAGGCAAGAAAAACTCATCTGAAACATTTCAGCCCATAGAAGTGCCATAAAGGAAGGATTACATCAGCCCTTCTTTAGTTTCCTCCAACAAATTGTTATTAACTTTCGAAGACTTGATATTTTAGAAATATGGAATGTTCCTACTGGAAGAGGGTACAAAAGAGTTCTTACTGCAGCAGGACACAGGAGAGTTCCTGCCACAGGAGGATACTGGAGAGTTCTTACTGCAGGATGATACAGGAGAGTTCTTACTGTAGGTTGATACAGGAGAGTTCCTTCTGTTGCAGGACACCAGCATATGCTAGAAATACCAACTGATAATGCATGCAAATGACCCTATACCATAATTATGACATTGACATCAGATAAGGAATCAAACCTCAGCACCAACATGAAAGGTTATATAATGGTCTCATTGATAAATATTCTGTTTCTTTGTGTGATATGATGCTGGACACGTTTGATTCTCGTTAGTTTGTCTGTTGGTTCCACTATTGTATACCTTGATCTTATTTGAGAATGTGACATAACTTACTTGGATTGACCAAGTTTTCCAATGCGGGTGTTGTCAATGAAACAGAAAAAACTTACTCTTCCAGAACTCCTGGTCTTATTCTCCTTGGACTTTTTCAGGAGTGTTTGTTCATATCTTGCCCTTGTTTTATTGAATTTGAGTTTGGATTATGATTATCTTCAGAAGTTGGTATTTTCTTGTTACCAATGTGCCATCTCACCATACTTATCCCCTTTAAAAATATACTACACTTCAAGTTTTGCAAACTTTCAAGTATCATTCTTCTTTCAGGTCATCTCCTATTTTGAAACATTTCCTGAATTACATTATTGTCTAGACCACTTTGAAATGCCTAATCAGTCAGTTAAATCTTGATGTACCATTTGTTATCTTAATGTTGCGATACAGCGACTCTATCTCAAGAAGGACAATGTGTCCATTAATAAAACCACTGTGCAGTATTGGAGCACTTCTATCATAACCTTCTTTGCTTTAGAGGCAATTGTTCCTTACAACAAACAAACACATTGGTTTCAAGCCATAAAACTACTTGATTTAACAATACATTTTAAATTACATCATCTTGTCTTTCAAGTTTTCACATGTTTCTTTTAAACCTGGCGGTTTTGTATTAGTCTGATTTTGGTGTCAGAATCATATTTCTGAAAGAGATGACAGAGATGAGCCCAAGCAGACAGAGTCCATGTCAGACAAGGAGGAGGGGTAGAGGAGCCTGACAGGAAGGGTGGTGGGCACATTTGTTGTACATCAAGGGAGGGTGGGGCCCTGTCAGACTGGCTCCCCTTAGTATGGCATTCCTGATAACAAAGTGTTGCTATGGAATTGAATTGCTGCCTCTGATTTTGACTGGTATGGTGTAAAGCTGCGCCTATGATATAATACTGATTAAATTAGAACCTTATCTGAATGCATGAGATAACAAACAATATGTATGACATGAGATATATCACTGCAGAAACCACTGATTCTTAGTGCACCAGAAAGTGGGGAGCAACTCTGACAACAAAATAAAAACGAGTGTGCATCCTTCAGTAAGAATAGATGGGAGTTCCAGTGGCAACATACAAATTTTTCCCTGAATATTGATATTTGTCGTCGGTCTCTTTGTTAGTTTGGTATAATGTCTCCAATTATCATGATACATGTGTTCTCATTCAAGATATCGTTCAGCACATACAATCTACTGAAAATGTAATATTATAATTTTGAAGGATTTCATTTTTTATATATCTTTGCAGACAGAAAAAAATTGTAAAAAATTGATAGCTTAAAAAATGAAATATTAGAGAAAACCACAGCCTGTTTTTATGGATATTATAGGAATTTTTTCTTTCCTTTTTATGCTTAGAGTTTTAGATAAAATAGATAAATTTGATCCAGTGAAACATTTCAGACAAAGATGATTTAAGCTAAAAAAGCTTTTGATATCTTTCTTCATCATTTTTATGAAATCATCTTTTTACGTATCCTTATGTTCACAATGATAAACTTTGACCTCAACATGATTATAACATGTCTTGATCTCTGTTCCTGTTTTGTTAACTTTGCACGATGCAGCCAAATGAAGTTTATGAAATAGAAATGAAGATCAAGATATATTTTAAGTCAGACTGACTTTGTTTCTAAAAGTTTGGTTCCTGTTTTTCTTCACAGAAACAACTGTAGGTTGATTCTATTGAATAAATGAAGCAAATTCCTTTAAATCTAGATAAATTTGAAAGGTTTAATTGTACTAAATAATTGGATTTAAACAAGATTTTCATGCTTCCACTAAGTATGAATTAGGTTTGTGACATGTCTATCAAGATCCATTGGGGACTGGCATGTAATACCAGATATATCAAAGATCATCCTATCTCCAGCTTAGATAGAAATAAACATTATAAATTTCATTATTGTTGGCACAAACTAAGAAACAATTATCATTATATAATATGGAAGAATCAAGATTTTGTTTATCTAAATCTGATATAAGGCACAAATATTTTAGTTGAAGTAGAGTTATAATTACAAACAGGGCTAATATTTCAGGCTTGGAGTTAAAATATAATGATGAAAGTATGCCTATTGTCCATTGTATTTCTGTCAAATCTGACTGAATCTCGGCTGATATTTTCATGGTTACATATCCATTACACATGCCTGAGAAGCATGGGGTCTAGCATTCTACACAGGAAACTCTACTTTCTTCAGCAGCTTAATTTCATAATCGTGATTCAATGTGAAAATTACTGTGAAAAGCTGAAAGTAAAGTATCAGATAAAAACTTGAAGTCTCCTTTTCATAGATATCTGCATTATTTGAAATCCTGTAATCTTGAGCCCTTCGCAACAAGAATGTTCTACGTCCATGCTATAATTGATATGAAATGCTAGTCTAACATATTTCAGCTAGTGCACATTTATAAAGATTAACTTTCCAAATACAATATATGCCATTTTCAATTTAAAAACATTTTGCCTAAATATATTTGAAATAACTCCCGTATTTTAAAGCTATTTTTTTCATAAAGAGATATTTGATGCCTTTTATGATTTGTGGGTACTGGCATATTTCTCACAAAATCTCCATGAAATAATCTTATTTGAATGTTTATCTAATATGAAATTCACTAAACAAATTCCATTGTTTGATATGTCAGAAGTTGTACTGAACTCCTTTAATATAGATATTACATTTGCATGAGTGTAAGATTCTATTCATCATAAAGTATGTATATCTAAAAACAAATAAGTGAAAAACTCTAAAGTTGATTTCCCTATCAGAGTACTTTGTTTGACATGGATAGATTTACACCACTGTGGCAATCACATAACATCATCAAGTCGTGACTTATTTGTAATGTAATAAAAATATTTTACGCACATGTTATAAAATATTTACAACATTGACATAACACAACTGGCCACTGATGATAAAAATGGTAATTCAAAACTGTGGTAACTGTATCATGAAGCTTGCTCTGCTACAAACATCATACAAAACCATAATGGCTGCAGCTATAGGTTTGCATTACCCTAATTTAATTTGTCTAAATATGTATTATTTTAGTTCTTTTAGTTTGAGAACATTTATTTCATTGATATCTAGATGTATTTCATATATCCAATGTATGATTTATCTTATCACCACCATCTTTCTCTGTCTGATTTCTTGAGTATATGGTACCTAATGTTGCTGAGCGGGTGTTCCTCTCTATACATGTGAGGTCTCCAATATATAAACCCTGATAAGCTGACCTTCCAGGTGTAAGCTAAGCTTGTTCTAAGTCTCTAATCAATTGTTGTGTTCAAGTTGACCTTTAACATCTACCAAGTTTACAACCCCTTCTAGTTTTTAACAATCCAAAACATCAAACAGAGTTGGGAGACATGCAAGCTGGCAGCTGTGTTGTGTGATGGGAACTGGGAGGCTTGTTAGTGGAGGTCGGGACCCTGCAATGGAACTATTTACAGAAGTACACACAGCCAATAATAATATTTAGTTTTTAGAGGATATAGAGGGTGAGAGCTATAATAGACCTGTATTTAGGTGTGTTTGTTTTTGGTGCCCTTTCTGACACTTGAAATTGCCACCATGCCACAAGGAACCATGAGGAATGCCACTCAGCATCTCTGTACCACTCTTTCGCCTCCTAAATGCCAACACTTCTAAACATGCTGACACCAATGCCCCATATCTGTCCAGAATAGTATGCCTTTTTATTACAGAATGGCAATGAAAAACAGCAAGGGTGATGAATCAGACCTCGTGGGGAATATTTTGCTGAAACAAATTTTGGAAGAAAACACAGGGCGTTTTCTTCTCAAGAATACTTCATCACCTTCAATGATCAGTGTATGTTTTAGGTTATTTCGGTTACTGGTCAGTGTGTTGTAGGTTACTGGTCAGAGTGTTGTAAGTTACTGGTCAGTGTGTTGTAGGTTACTGGTCAGTGTGTTGTGTGTTATAGGTCACTGGTCAGTGTGTTGTAGGTTACTTGTCAGTGTGTTGTAGGTTACTGGTCAGTGTGTTGTAGGTTACTGGTCAGTGTGTTGTAGGTTACTGGTCAGTGTGATGTAGGTTACTGGTCAGTGTGTTGTAGGTTACTGGTCAGTGTGGTGTAGGTTACTGGTCAGTGTGGTGTAGGTTACTGGTCAGTGTGTTGTAGGTTACTGGTCAGTGGCTGACATCTCTTTTATTTATACACCAACTGTTTTGTACATCAGATTGTAATAGAGAACACATGTTCACATGATTGTTCAAATGCAAATATCTTAAGTGACTTAAAATTTCGTGCTTCAGATGTGAGTTTATCTCAAATGACTGTTCAAATGTGGTTATCTCTCATGTGACTGTTCAAATGTGGTTATCTCTCATGTGACTGTTCAAATGTGGTTATCTCTCATGTGACTGTTCAAATGTGGTTATCTCTCTTGTGACTGTTCAAATGTGGTTATCTCTCATGTGACTGTTCAAATGTGGTTATCTCTCATGTGACTGTTCAAATGTGGTTATCTCTCTTGTGACTGTTCAAATGTGGTTATCTCTCATGTGACTGTTCAAATGTGGTTATCTCTCATGTGACTGTTCAAATGTGGTTATCTCTCTTGTGACTGTTCAAATGTGGTTATCTCTCATGTGACTGTTCAAATGTGGTTATCTCTCATGTGACTGTTCAAATGTGGTTATCTCTCATGTGACTGTTCAAATGTGGTTATCTCTCATGTGACTGTTCAAATGTGGTTATCTCTCATGTGACTGTTCAAATGTGGTTATCTCTCATGTGACTGTTCAAAAATTCTAAGTTCATCCCTATTATAGTTTTGATACACAAAAGAGTTGAATGATTTTCAAAAACAAATAGTCTGAAAGCAAGGAATTGTTACCAAATAATTCTTCAAAGTAAATCTGTGTGACATTGCAGAGATTTCCTCTTAATCATCAACCTCATCAGATCTCTTCCATAACAAAATACTACCTCTCCTGTCTCTGCATATTTGCCATCTGATTGGATTTCAAATCTTGTTGTTTTTTTTGTCACAGGAAATATTTATCAAGGCGAAAGTTTAAAACTAAAACTTTGAGTAGTGTTGGAAAGAATTGAATATGATAGAACAGCAACAAAAAAACTGGCAAGTTTCACTGACCTGATATTATCCATTGGAACATGCATCCATAACAATTATGAAAATAAGGCAAAATCAGACTAAAAGTTTGAAAATAATTGCATGACAGAATGTAATAGAACAGCATATTGTATCGCACCAATGGAGCAGTAAAGGAAAAAAAAACTGAAATTTAAAAATTAACATTAGTCAACACTCTGCATTGCGTGACAATGATGGAGATTTGTGTTGAACCTCCCTTCGTCATGCTCTATCCATCAGACAGGAGAGTCGCACACAATGTCTGAATCAAGTGCAGGTCTCAAAGGATTTCATAAGCAGCTTAGATGGCCGTAGACAATCACAACAAACAGAAATAAATTGTTATGGTATATTTTTTTAGAAATAATTATCTCACTGAACAACAAGGATCCAAGAGACTCTGCAACTAAAAATACCACCAATTTTATCTGGATTGTCTGGGTACAAGTAACTAAAACAAACAGCCAAACTGAGCTACTGTTCTTATAGTCATCAAGCCTTAAACAGTCTACAAAATCCATATTCTCAAAGACAGTGATAAAATAGATCAAATTCATGCTCTAAAGATAGTGTAGAATATCAGGACAAAATTCTAAAGATAGTGATGAAATATCAGGACAAATTCTAATGTTATCAGGGAAGAAAAGATCTATGTTGTCTGGGAAGAAAAGATCTATGTTGTCTGGGAAGAAAAGATCTATGTTGTCAGAGAAGAAAAGATCTATGTTGTCAGAGAAGAAAAGATTTATGTTGTCAGGGAAGAAATGATCTATGTTGTCCAGGAAGAAATGATCTATGTTGTCCAGGAAGAAATGATCTATGTTGTCAGAGAAGAAATGATCTATGTTGTCAGAGAAGAAATGATCTATGTTGTCCAGGAAGAAAAGATCTATATTGTCAGAGAAGAAAAGATCTATGTTGTCAGAGAAGAAAAGATCTATGTTGTCAGGGAAGAAATGATCTATGTTGTCTGGGAAGAAAAGATCTATGTTGTCTGGGAAGAAAAGATCTTTGTTGTCTGGGAAGAAAAGATCTATGTTGTCAGAGAAGAAAAGATCTTTGTTGTCTGGGAAGAAAAGATCTATGTTGTCAGAAAAGAAAAGATCTATGTTGTCCAGGAAGAAAAGATCTATGTTGTCAGGGAAGAAATGTTGTCTGCGAAGAAAAGATCTATGTTGTCAGAGAAGAAAAGATCTATGTTGTCAGAGAAGAAAAGATCTATGTTGTCAGAGAAGAAAAGATCTATGTTGTCTGGGAAGAAAAGATCGATGTTGTCTGGGAAGAAATGTTGTCTGGGAAGAAAAAATCTATGTTGTCAGAGAAGAAAAGATCTATGTTGTCAGAGAAGAAAAGATCTATATTGTCAGAGAAGAAAAGATCTAGGTTGTCAGAGAAGAAAAGATCTGTGTTGTCAGAGAAGAAAAGATCTAGGTTGTCATTGAAGACAAGATCTATGTTGTCTGGGAAGAAAAGATCTATGTTGTCAGAGAAGAAAAGATCTATGTTGTCAGAGAAGAAAAGATCTATATTGTCAGAGAAGAAAAGATCTACGATGTCAGAGAAGAAAAGATCTGTGTTGTCAGAGAAGAAAAGATCTAGGTTGTCATTGAAGACAAGATCTATGTTGTTTGGGAAGAAAATATTGATGTTGTCTGGGAAGAAAAGATCTATGTTGTTTGGGAAGAAAAGATCTATGTTGTTTGGGAAGAAAAGATCTATGTTGTTTGGGAAGAAAAGATCTATGTTGTCATTGAAGAAAAGATCTATGTTGTCAGGGAAGAAATGTTGTTTGGGAAGAAAAGATCTATGTTGTCATTGAAGAAAATAGCTATGTTGTCTGGGAAGAAAAGATCTATGTTGTCTGGGAAGAAAAGATCTAGGTTGTCAGAGAAGAAAAGATCTATGTTGTCAGAGAAGAAAAGATCTATGTTGTCAGAGAAGAAAAGATCTAGGTTGTCATTGAAGACAAGATCTATGTTGTTTGGGAAGTTGTCAGGGAAGAAAAGATCTATGTTGTTTGGGAAGAAAAGATCTATGTTGTTATTGAGGAAAAGATCTTTGTTGTCATTGAAGAAAAGATCTATGTTGTCATTGAAGAAAAGATCTATGTTGTTTGGGAAGAAAAGATCTATGTTGTCATTGAAGAAAAGATCTTTGTTGTCTGGGAAGAAAAGATCTATGTTGTCCAGGAAGAAAAGATCTATGTTGTCATTGAAGAAAAGATCTAGGTTGTCATTGAAGACAAGATCTATGTTGTCATTGAAGAAAAGATCTAGGTTGTCATTGAAGACAAGATCTAGGTTGTCATTGTAGAAAAGATCTAGGTTGCCATTGAAGAAAAGATCTAGGTTGTCATTGAGGAAAAGATCTTTGTTGTCAGGGAAGAAAAGATCTATGTTGTCATTGAGGAAAAGATCTATGTTGTCAGGGAAGAAATGCTGTCTGGGAAGAAAAGATCTATGTTGTCATTGAAGAAAAGATCTATGTTGTTTGGGAAGAAAAGATCTAGGTTGTCATTGAAGACAAGATCTATGTTGCCATTGAAGAAAAGATCTAGGTTGTCAGAGAAGAAAAGATCTATGTTGTCAGAGAAGAAATGATCTATGTTGTCAGAGAAGAAAAGATCTAGATTGTAATTGAAGACAAGATCTATGTTGTCAGGGAAGAAAAGATCTATGTTGTTTGGGAAGAAATGATCTATGTTGTCTGGGAAGAAAAGGTTGATGTTGTCAGAGAAGAAAAGATCTATGTTGTGTGGGGAGAAAAGATCTATGTTGTCAGAGAAGAAAAGATCTAGGTTGTCAGAGAAGAAAAGATCTAGGTTGTCATTGAAGACAAGATCTATGTTGTCAGAGAAGAAAAGATCTAGGTTGTCAGAGAAGAAAAGATCTATGTTGTCACAGAAGACAAGATCTAGGTTGTCAGAGAAGAAAAGATCTAGGTTGTCAGAGAAGAAAAGATCTAGGTTGTCAGAGAAGACAAGATCTAGGTTGTCAGAGAAGAAAAGATCTAGGTTGTCAGAGAAGAAAAGATCTAGGTTGTCATTGAAGACAAGATCTAGGTTGTCAGAGAAGAAAAGATCTAGGTTGTCAGAGAAGAAAAGATCTAGGTTGTCATTGAAGACAAGATCTATGTTGTCAGAGAAGAAAAGATCTAGGTTGTCAGAGAAGAAAAGATCTAGGTTGTCAGAGAAGAAAAGATCTATGTTGTCAGAGAAGAAAAGATCTAGGTTGTCATTGAAGACAAGATCTATGTTGCCATTGAAGAAAAGATCTAGGTTGTCATTGAAGACAAGATCTATGTTGTCAGAGAAGAAAAGATCTATGTTGTCAGAGAAGAAAAGATCTAGGTTGTCAGAGAAGAAAAGATCTATGTTGTCAGAGAAGAAAAGATCTAGGTTGTCATTGAAGACAAGATCTATGTTGTCAGAGAAGAAAAGATCTAGGTTGTCATTGAAGACAAGATCTAGGTTGTCATTGTAGAAAAGATCCATGATGTCAGTTGTGAGCAACAGGAGCTTCATATATATCCTTTGATTGTTTATCACAAATTTTTTAGTAATTTATATTTAAACTGTAAAAACTAAAAGCATTTTTTTAATGATTTTTAAAATAATCCATAAATTTACATTAATTCTGGAATGGAATTAAAATTGAAAACATTAGCTTGACTAGCACACTGACTTACTTTACCATCACAAACCGAAACGCGGTGTTGGTAATAAAATTGACCTGTTTTAGGAGGGGACATTAGGACAGAATGATATTTTGTTCTTATGAGAATTCATGGCAATCATGTGTTACGATTGCAGCTATTATTTGATATGTATTGGCGGGCTCTTTGGACCCGAGATGATAATCGAAATCTGTGCTGTTACACAATGTCTGCAGTTTCGACTTTCAAACCTATCAGGTCTACCACTTTGGGAATTGCAGCATACTTCTAGTTTCAATGTGTTTTGAAAACAATAACACAAAAAAATCAAAACCCCGCTGCACTACAAAATGATGCATGCGCCTGTGCTTCAATGATCAAATTCTATCCTTATCTACAACTTCATCAGTACATACAATGCTGGCTAACAAAACATTGGAGGGTTTCAGGAACTCTAAGCTGGAAAATTTGGAAATTTTCACAGCTATATGTGGCTACTGATGTTTTTCTTCTTAATGAATGATATTGTAATACATACTAAAATGTGAAATGATAATACAATTACAACTACACCTTTGGGTCTTTTCAAGAATGTCAATTTTACAAAATGTTGTCATTGGTCGAAGGCAACATAAATTATCAGGACTACTTCTTTTGCTTTGTTTTATTTCCTAGGCTTTCTGTGTTAATTTTGTTATGTCCTGAAATATACATTTTTCATTCCAAGCACGAAATCTGCTGATGACATTTTGTTTAACTCTATAAATGGCATGCAACGCACTTTTGATTTATGAACTAGATTTGTTCAGAGTTTATATGATGCACTGTGACGTGTATGATCAAGTCAATATGCAGGAAACTAGACTTACGTTTTGAAACATTGATGGCAACATTAAAGTTTCTGGTCTTAACAGATTACTGCTTTCAGCTTGTTTGGATGTGTCACATGAACAGGAAGTCAGAAACTTTATACTTAAGGACTCTAAGGTCAACCTTAAAACCACGAAAAGAAATCTCCTTATTACAAAATCTTTTATTTTTGCTTTCTCACATATAGGTAACTAATGCTTATCTGGTATAGAAATCCATGGAGATGTCGCAACATTCCACATTCAAGACAGGGATTGCTGTCGACACTATCCTATCTCGGAGATCTCAATACAGTCATTGGTTTGGTGTACCGACACCATCTTCTGGTGCACATATACCACTGAGATTCCAGATAATATAAGCCCATATATATCTTAAGATATCAATCTGTACTAAAACATATTCATCTCTGAAATCTTTAAATCTCATCTTAGCGTGTAATTTGAGGTCAATTTTTGAAAGTTCTCGTAAATAATTTATGCCTGTTTTTTATATTGATTTTGTATATTTCAAGGCACTGAATTATCTAACTACAAAATATAAGTCTTCAATCTCCTCCTGATGTATATTTGTAACAGCTAAGCTTCAACTAAGCAGAAAAAGTTTATAGGGATACAATTCTACAACATTGCAAATCATTTCTAATTTTATTCTGGATTTAAGTTTGTGATAAATTGTTGGAAACTAGCTGTTTAAGTAGCTTTCTATTTTCATACCTCATCATCATCAATTTTTGCAGAAATAGATTTATCACATTTAATGCAGATCTGCTAATGTTTATAAAAGATATGTATTTTTATTAATTTTTTAATTCTCTACATGCCAGCTGCAAATTCATTTACTTTCACTATGAAGGTACACAAATAGAGATCTTGTGCTGAAAAGATAATCTCCTTATGTGAAGGAGACCTGAATTATTATGTAACATTCTAGTCAGTTTTTGTTTTTTGTTTTTTTGTTTACACATATGTAAATATATCAACAAATTTTAGGTCTTAAAGTTTTCAATAAAAAAATCACATTCTTTAACATTTCAAGATTTCATTACTTTTCTAATCATATAAGTAGATCATGTCTTTTATTTGAATTTTTATTTTATTACAAGACAGCACAATCAGTTAAACTTAGAATTGAAAGCCATATGATTGTATCATAATACCAGGAGCAAGTCAAACTTTTATCAAATGAACAGTTACAGGAAGTAACTAAAACCAATTTATAATTGGACAGGTAGAATTAAAGATTGCCCCTCACTTCAGTACATCTTACCTTTGATGTTTTTAAAATTCAATCAGAAAATACTTGAAGATTTTGTCTATAATTTTGATCCTGGGAACTTAATCAGATTATAAGTTGTCAACAAATTCTGCTTACAGTGAACTTGAAGTCATACTTAAGTTATTTCTTTGAACAAAAGTTAAAGTTCATAAACACTTCATTCCAGAACAGCTAAGCTAATAAGATCTGGCCTGGTGCATAACCTTTATTTTTGAAAACCAAATTCTTATTTTGAGTACCTGACATTATAATGTACTTGGAATGTCCATGATTTACCTAGCATGTGTTGCTGATGAAGCAAATTAACTCACTCAGAACATATTTCTTCACTTATACATTTTGTCAGGTATTAGCAATTTTTCATGACAATTGTTGTTTTAAAAGGAAAAGAGAAATCTGAAGTTCAATGTATCATTTTTTGAAAGGATGGAAAATGTTCTAGTAAAATTATATATTGCATCTGCAGGACAGTTAATGTTAAATCAAACAATAGTGATTGCATAACAGATCTTGTCATTGTTGAGAAATAAAGTTCTTTTAATTGTTATTTGTAAACATTGTTTCCCACAACACACATTAAAACCTGCAGACAATTTCTTTGTTTCATTTGAGCAGTATAGTCTGACAAGGACTTGATAACCTTACCATCAAAAGATACATTAACTGACTACCAGCCTATCAAATCGAGTTAAGACCCAGACTTATTTCATTTGTATGGTAAGATTATTGTCATCATGGTTGAAGAGAAAAATCATGGTAAACATGGTTGCAAAACTCAACCCGCAGCCAACATCAGGTGCAGTGAATTCAATCTCAACATCTATATTAACAAATCATTTTTATCAAGAATCTATAGATGTACAGTCAAAAATGTGTCATTGTGAACATGATTGAGGGACCCCAGTAAGTAAGTTTGGATTTATATGCTGAAAATCTCCCATAATGTACAGAGGACCAATACTATCAACAAGTTTAAATTTATATGTTTAAAATCCCTGACAATGTACACAGAACCATGTCTGTAAGTATGGATTTTAAAATCCCTAATTATTGCCAATCAGGTTGGATTTCAGTATCATACAAAATGTACATTTGACCAACAATCAATGAATTTTGGTTTTAAAATCCCTTATCACTATCAGTAAGTTTGGATATGTAATTCCACACCATGTACAGAGGACCAGTACGATCAATAAGTTTGAATTTTAAAATCCCACACCGTGTACAGAGGACCTGTACAATCAATAAGTTTGGATTTTAAAATCCCACACCACTTACAGAGGACCATTTGAATCAATAAGCTTGGATTTTAAAATCCCGCACCATGTACAGAGGACCAGTACGATCAATAAGTTTGGATTTTAAAATCCCACATCATGTACAGAGGACCATTACAATCAATAAGCTTGGATTTTAAAATCCCGCA